CCCCACCGGGGATAGGCCCCAGGAACGCGCCCCCCCCCATCTGGCCCCGCTATAGGACCCAGGAGTCCGGTCCCCGCCTGCAGCCCTGCCCTGTGCACGGGAGCCAGCTGACGTGCACTGATGGGGGAGTGGAGAGGGGCTTCCCTGCAAAGCCTGGCTGCACATCGGTGGCCCCTGCATCCCCAGCTCCCCCCGCCCCACAGTTCAGTCAGTGCCCCTGGATCCTGACCTGCAGCCCCTGCTATCCCAGAGATGCCCCTGGATCCCCGACCCTGAGCTGCCCCGCTCCCCAGAGCTCTACTGACGCCCCTGGATCTTGACCCACGCCCCCTGCTCTCCCAGCGGCTCCCCCCATGCTGGGTCAATGCTCCTCACACCCAGATCAGCAGCTCTTCTGTGGTCCCAGCCCTGGCCCCTACCCCTTCCACCTCTGCCAACCCCCTTAATCTCAGCCTGTCCCCCTGTTATCCCACTCTCCTCCCCCCACAGCTCCAGCCACAGACCTCCTCAGTGCTGACCCATAGCCTCCTAGGAAAGGCGTCAGAAAAACATAGTTCACTGTGACATGGAGTCCCTGGGGGATCGCTGGCTATGGGCCCCAAAGGCAATCGAAGGCCATGGGGGACTTGGAGGGGGATTAATTCAAACATTTAGCAGTCACTAAACGGTGGCGTTTTGAGCCGGCTGGTGTTTCCATCTGTCCCTGGCTCTGTGGGGCATCTGCAAGCCTCTCGCCATCTGTCGCCTGCTAGGGAGGAAGGGAGAGGGGCCAGCTCTGGGGGGGTAGGGAGGAGGGCCAGGCTGGCAGGAGTTAATTTGCAGTAGAATTGGGGAGGGGAGGAAAATCTAGGGCAACCCAGAGAGTGGACACTGGCTGTGATGCCTAAAGAGCCCCCTGGTGTCCTAGCGTTACCACCTGGGGCTACATGAGAGCAGGTGCAGCCCAGCCTGGGGTGAAATGTAAAGGAAGCTCGTCCCATGTCCATAGCTGGGGGGCAGAGTGGGATCTCTGAGCTGCAAGGGGTCAAAAGGAAGCCACCCTGAATCCTGGGGTGGATCCCATGCCCCCTTCCCTCCCTCCCCACGGATTTTAAGGGGGGATCCAATTAATGAGATTAGGCTGCGATCACAGCTCAGGGCATCTCAGTTGTTAATTACCAGCTAAGGCACAGAGTGCCTGTGCGTGTGTGTCCATGTGTCAGGAGGATCAGGAGTCAGTGTGATTTCCCAGGCCAGATGCTGGAGAGCAGAGTGAAGTGGCTCTGACCGTAGACTGGGGGTCCCTGATCTCCCCTCCCCACACATGCTCAGATGCCCAGCCTGGGGACTGTTGGGTATAAAATACTACACACCCCTACCCGCAGAGTAATGGATTCAGGACGCAACCCACCTCACATGGACACAGACATGCACCTAGATGGGGTACATACAGAGTCTGCCATGGGAATATGCCTCACTGAGCATGGGGGGCTACCAAGGGGGCTTTGGTACCACAACATCCCCCCAACCTGCCCCAACTTGGACTGCTCTAGAGGCAGCATGAGCCTTTTGCTCTAGGGCAGGGGTTCCCAACCTGGGGTAGGCGTACCCCCAGGGGGTACGAGAAGCTTGTCAAGGGGGTATGGGGAATATTTGGTAAATAACTAGATTATCCTATTTGAAATATTCCAATAGTAGTAGTGTTAGTGAAAAACGTTGTGGATTCTAGAGTCTAGAATTTATTTCCTTTCATATTGAATGGGGGGTATGGGAAGATTTCCTAAAAGCCAAGGGGATATGGGGACCGAAAAAGGTTGGGAACCCCTGCTCTAGGGGGACACCAGATCTGACCCCGTCCCATGGACTGGTGGGCACAGGGGCTTGCCCTCTGGTTTCCCTAGCCAGCTTTGCTGGAGCTCTGTCACGTTCGGAGGGGAGGGCTTTTAACTCTCATCTCTCCCTGTCTCTGCTGTGAATGTCTGGGAATCCATTGTTAATGGACAGCCAGGGCCTACTGCATCAGCACCCGAAATGGGGGTGTGTGTGGCGTGTGCGTGAGTTGGAATGGGAGAGCTGGAGAGCTGTTTTCGGGGCAGAGAAGTGGGAAATAAAGTACTATGGTTGGGCTGATTAGGGGCAGGAGAGTGGGGGTACAGTGCATTGGGCAGGGGATGGGGTGCAGCTGTACCAGGGTCCCCTGCTTTGGCACATTTCTGATTGGTGCCTGGCTCCGGGAAGGGCCTCTGGCTGCAGATGGCCGGTGCTGCTGGCACAGGGGGCTGGCAGGGTGGCCGGGATGGGCAGGCGGCTGGCAGCTGGGTCCTGGCCAGTCTTAGGCAGGAGAGTGGGGGTACAGTGCATTGGGCAGGGGATGGGGTGCAGCTGTACCAGGGTCCCCTGCTTTGGCACATTTCTGATTGGTGCCTGGCTCCGGGAAGGGCCTCTGGCTGCAGATGGCCGGTGCTGCTGGCACAGGGGGCTGGCAGGGTGGCCGGGATGGGCAGGCGGCTGGCAGCTGGGTCCTGGCCAGTCTTAGGTGAGC